GGGCCCAAAGAGGGGTAGGATTTGCCCAAGTTCCTTCAGCTGGTGTGCAGTGGGACCCAGGTGAGAACTCAGAAAACCTCTCTCCAAGCCCATGGTTTATACTGCTGCCATAAAACCCCTCCCCATTTCCTTTCCTCCCAGTTTTATTGAGATATAATTGACATATAAAATTGTATTTGTTTAGCCCAGCCAGTGTGGCTCAGCAGTTGAGCTTCGTCCCAGGAACCAAGAGGCCACAGGTTTGATTCCTGGTCAGGGCACATGCCTAGTTTGCGGGCTCGATCCCCAGCAGGGATGCATGCAGAAGGCAGCTGATTGATGATGTTCCTCTCTCATCGATGTTTCTAACTCTCTATCCCTCTCCCTTCCTCTCTCTCTCAAAATCAATAAAAACATATTTTTAAAACATTGTATTAATTTAAGGTGTACAACCTAATGATTTCATATTTGTTTATATTGCAAAATGATCATCACAATAAGTGTAGTTACCATCTATCACTTCACAGTTACCTTTTTTTTCTTGTAATGAAAACTTTTAAGATATACCCTCTTAGCAACTTTCAACATACACTACAGTATTGCTAACAGCATGGTCACCACGCTGTACATTACATCCCAGGACTTACTTATCTCTAACTGGGAGGTTTTTTTTCTTGTTTTGTTTTTTATATTTTATTGATTTTTTACAGAGAGGAAGGGAGAGGGATAGAGAGTTAGAAACATCGATGGGAAAGAAACATCGATCAGCTGCCTCCCGCACACCTCCTATTGGGGATGTGCCCGCAACCAAGGTACATGCCCTTGACCGGAATCGAACCTGGGACCCTTCGGTCCACAGGCCGACGCTCTATCCACTGAGCCAAACCGGTTAGGGCTCTAACTGGGAGTTTGTACCTTTTGACCACCTTCACCATTTTCCCCACTCCCCATTTTCTATAGCCCACATTTTGCCATCAGGAAACTGAAGTTCCCTGAACGTTTGGAGATAACAGTTGAGAGTTCAGCCCTAGCTGGTTTGGCTCAGTGGATAGAGCATCGGCCTACTGACTGAAGGGTCATGGGCTCAATTCTGATTAAGGGCATGTACCTCGGTTGCAGGCTCAATCTGATCCCCAGCCCTGGTCGGGGCTCATGTGCAAGGCAACCAATCCATCTGTCTCTCTCACATCACTGCTTCTCTTTCTCTGTCTCTCCTTCTCCCTTCCATTCTCTCTAAAAATCAATGGAAAAATATGCCGGGGTGGAAATTAACAAAAACAAAACAAAAATAAATAAATAAATAAATATAAAATGATTTATTTTTTAATAAATTTTTAAAAATTAAAAAAAAAAGAGTTCAGAAAGTGGGCAGAACAAGCTTGAAGGGCAGCTACTACATTGGCCTAACCTCCAACCTGTCTCCTGGCAAGTGGAGGGCCTGTGACAGGTTCTTTTCTCCTAAGGCGGCCCCAAAGCCTCTAAGACTCCAAACGGGAGAAAGAGGCTTCCTCAGGGGGTTATAACCTACAGCAGATGCAGTTCTGCCTGACCGAGTGCCATGACGTTTTCCTCCAGGGCAGTTCAGCTTCTCCAAAACCAATCCTTCCTGTTCCAAGAGGAAACGTTCCTCCCCAGAAGGCCAAGTCACACCCGAGAAAGAGGAACGGCTTGCTCCTACAAAACGGCAGCTTCCCAGATCTCAGAAATGCACTGGGGGTCCCAGCTCAGCCAGAGCACCAAGTGGGGCCTTGGAGTGTTATACCCCATTGTTTCATTCATGATCTATCACGAACATAGTTTTCCAGCAAAGATGATTTTTAATGATCATACTGTATCTCACCATGCGGATATAGCAACATTTACCAAACCAAATCCGTTTGGCTTATGTCCATTATTGACTATTTTAAAGTTGTAATAAGCAACCATGTACATAGCCAAAACACAGAACACCCTTTATTTCCTTAGAGAAATTCCTAAAAGTGAAATTACTGGTTAGACAGAACACACGATTTTAAGGCTTTTGATGGAAACTCTCAAACTTCCCCCTACAGAAATGTTCAAGATATTCTCCCCTTTAGCCTCGGTGAGAATCAGTGACATGATTTTCAATAAATTACTGACTAGTGTATGAACAAAAAGCTCCTCGATAATTCTTCCAGTAGATGGCACTCGTTGCTAAGATTTTAAGTCTTGGATTTCAGGCAAGGCTCTCAGTACTTGATTCAATTTGCATCAGTAAAGTCAGATGCATTTCAAAGCAAATTTGCAGAAGGAAATCTAGGATGTTATATAAAAACCAATCAACAGTGGGATCTTGGGATCCTGTGAGACCTTAAAAACACTCTGGAATGTTGTCACCCTTCCAACTATTAAAATCTCCTGCAACTTCCCAAGAACCCCGCAGGGGAGGCACCAACATTTAAGGTGCACATGCGTTCTCTCCACTTTCCTTGTTAATTTTTACTCCAGGAAAGCAGGATTGGGCCACCCTGGTTCCTTCTGACCGGCTTTCTGGGCCCTTAGCTTACCACTTCCATGTGTGATTACTGATTGCTTCTCTCTGTTGCTGGAGGTGGCGTTCACTGGAGCCCAGTGCAGTGGCCCCTGCAGGTGTCAGCCGCATGAATCCAGGCAGAGGTCTTGGGACCTGGCCTTAGAGCTTTGCCAAATGGTGCCCTTCCTTTTGAAACCAAAATCCATCCTGAGATTTTCAAATCTTAGCTGCTATAAATGACAAAAACTTAACAACAGTCTGGAGGTGAATAAGCCACAGGAAGAAGGGTGGCAGAATGACTAAAAGTACACATAGAAGGATGGAGTTCCAGCTCACTTCCTGGTCAAAATTAAATCACTTCACTAAGCGTGTTTCCTCATCTATAAAATGGCTCTAATGATAGCACCTACTCTATTAAGCAAGAATTTGCATTCCAAGGGCTCAGCACAGTGCCTGGTACCCAATAAGGACTCTAAGTTTGCTTGGCCATTGCAACCTCTCCTCCTGCCAAGCAGCACCCTCTGAAGGAACAGTGGAAAGAACAAGAATGAAGAGATTGTTTTTTTATTATCCCAAGCCACCCATTTAGACAACATCTTGCAAGTTAATATTTGTGTTGTGTGACCTCCTGGCTGTCAATATTTCACTCGGCTCTAACACTGCAGATGAATAACTGGCA